AAAAAAAAAAAAAAAAAAAAACGTAAAAATGAAGAATACAAAGAACTGCCAACCAAAAATCCCCCTCCCCCCATTTTTTTTATTTTTTTTTTTCAATTTCTCTTCTCCGCCTTTTCTGTTTTTTATTTTTTATAATTCTAAAAACTTATCTGTTTCCAAAAAAATATATATAGGGTTGTACTACCGTTGTAGGGATTAAAAATCTCTACAAGCCCATATTTTTTTTATTTTTTTTACCCATTATTTCATTTAGGAAAAATATGGTAAATTCATGTCCACGGACGCGGACGAGGTCGGCCGCGGACGTGACCGTATACACATCCGTCATCCGAGCTCGAGCCTGCGGACGCGTCCGTAGGTGTTTTATAGGCGCAAAAGAGTCAGGCCTACGAGATAGGGCATCTGCTACTTTATTGTAGCAGCCCTTCTTGTGCTTCAGTTCAAAGTGAAACATGTCGATGAACTGAATATAGTGTGTCAACTTGTCGTTCAACTCTCCCTGGGACTTCATCCACTGTAAGGTGAAATTATCTGAGAAGATCTTGAAGTGTCTTCCCAAGAGAAAGTGCTTCCAATGTTTTAAGGCACAGACAAGACCATGTAACTCCTTCTCGTAGGTAGAGTCCTGAAGCTTCTGAGTCTTGATCTTCTTACTCATGAACTCTACAGGCCGTAGACCATTCCCATCATCTTGCTGAAGAACTGCTCCAATGCCATACTGACGGCGTCAGTGGTCAAGATGAATGGCAAAGTGGGGTCAGACAGCTTCAGCACTGGTGCACGAGTCAAGACCTTCTTGAGTCGTGTGAAGGTCAACTGACAGGGAAGAGACCAAAGAAAAGGAGTGGTTTTCTTTGTTAGGTTAGCCCGGGGTGCAACCACTGCAGAAAAGTTCCTGACAAACTTTCTGTAGTATGAGGCTAAGCCCATGAAGGACCTAACATCCCTCACTGTCTGTGGTTGTGGCCACTCCTAAACAACAACTATCTTGGCTGCTTCAGGAGCCAGACCATCTCCAGAGATTACATGACCCGGGTAGATGACAGAGGGAACTCCCAAGGAGGACTTCTCCCTGTTAATCTTATACTGGTTGTCACGTAACAGTTGAAGGACCAGAGTCAGCTGCTCCGCATGTTCCCTGACAGTTCGGCCGAATATCAGAATGTCATCTAGATAGACAACCATGAACTTATCCAGGTAAGGCCTGAAAATGCGGTGCATCTCAGTCTGAAAGGTACCTGGGGCATTGCAAAGTCCAAATGGCATAACTAGATACTCGTAAGTACCATATCTGGTTTTGAAGGTTGTCTTGTGGACGTGCTCCTCCAGCATCTCAATCTGATGATACCCAGATTTGAGATCGACTTTGATGAACACTGTACAACCCTGCACCATGTCCATAAGGTCATCGATCCTAGGAATAGGCTCTGTACATTTCCTAGTGATCTTGTTGAGACCCCTGTAGTCGATGCACATTTGGAATTCTCCATTCCCTTTCAGGACGAAGAGCACTGACGCGCCAAATTCAGATGTACTCGGTCGTATCCTGCCTTTGCTGGTAAGGGTTTCTAACTGCTTTCTGAGCTCCTCATGCTCAGCAGGGGACATCTTGTACATGCGGCCCTTAGGAGGGACCGCTCCAGGTAGCAGCTCAGTGTGATGTTTGGTTGGCCGGTTGGGTAATCCAAAGGGCTCCTGCATCAGATCAATGTATTAATCCACAACCAGGTCCTGCTGTATCTCAGGAGGACAGGAAACAGGTGGAGCGTCTGCTTGCTTGACCAGAGCTAAGAACATACGCTCGTGGCCATACTGGCGTGAGAGAGAATAAAACTCCCTCGCTCTCAAACTGTAGCAACTAGTCTTAGGGTGGTGGTCAGCAGCAATCATGCAAGGCTGATACACCCCCTGTCCATTGGGGAGTTCAACCTTAAGGATCAGCCAGTCGATCCTAGGGTTGACTGCCCTCAGCCACTGCATCAAGAATACCAGATCAAAAGGTAGATAAAGGAATATATAGAAGTTCAGAGCATGTCTGACTTCTCCAGCACTGTCTAAGGTAACAGGTATACCCTTGACCTTCTCCCTGATGGTGAGGACAGTGGAGTCTCCTATCCCGACTTGCAGCTGGTGCTGCAACTGCGGAACTTTCATGCCCAAGTGCAGTTTCTTGACAGCACTGGGAGACATGAAGTTCCTGGTGGCTCCACAATTTAGCAACCCTTTGATCCTGATATGATTGATCAAGGGCCGAAGTTGGATGAGATCAGACTTGCTTTTCTTTTGTTCCTTCAGATGAAGGAAAAAGGCCGCAAGTGACTGAAGCTCATTCTCCTCCGGGTCCTGATCCGGGTCAGGATGCTCGTAGCAGAAGGATGCTGCCCGCGCAGTCCCCAGACTCATACAATCTGTCTCACCTGAACCAGCTGCAGATTCATCTAACTCAGCAGATGAAGCTGCAGCATTGGGGGGAACTGCAGTCCCCAGGGTCTGCTTCAGTTTTTTTATTGACCCGGGTCTCGCATGTAAAGGCAATCCTTCAAGAAGTGTTGTCCCTCACATCTCAAGCAGACCCCTCTCTCCTTTCTTCTTCTGCACACTCCCTCCTGGATCTTGAGGTCGTGCCAGGGGAGAGTGGAGGGATTGAGTGGGTCAGCAGGCATGCGAACGTCCTTTGGCAAGCTAGGGCGCTGGGCAGAGGTAGAAGGACGACGACGCGACGTCCCTTGTCCTTCCCCTTGGAACTTGCTGAGGCTGTGGAGGGGGATAATTTTTTTTGCTGCTGCAGAACCCCCAAAACAGCCTGAGTTAGGGTCGTTGCAACGTCTGTATCAGCAGCTTAATCAATCCCAACTGATGGTACATCAACTTGGGAGTCTGAATCACTTGTTGATGGAGACCCTGCATGTGTGAAGGCAGCCTTTCCCTTTCTGCCACCACGAGGGAAGGCTCCTTTTCTCCTGTCAGAAGAAGGGGCCTGAACATGAAGCTTTGCCTCCATGTTCAGGGCTGCACGGCCGAAGGATCTCCAATCCTTATGTCCAGCGCTATATAAGGCCACAACAAACTTCTCAGGCGGTGCCCTGCAAAAGTTGGTCAGCAGGTCATCAATTGACATGACCAACCCAGGGGTAGAGGTAAGTTGCTCGAACTCTGCGAACAGGGATTGCGGGGTACCGTTGTAGCGCCGCTGCCCCAAGCGAGCAATCTTGTCAGCAGCTTTGCGGACCTGCTCCTTGTCTGCAAAGCGGTCTTTTAGGGCCTGCAGAAGTTTGTCCACCCTCAACCCAAAACCCCAGTCCTCCATAGACTGCTGCTGACTGCTTGAAGTTGAGGTGACCCACTTCAAAGCGGGTCCTTCCAACAGTCCCAATATCGTTGCCACCTTGGTCTGTTCTACGCAGATAAAGCCCCTCAAGTAGGCTTTCATCCCAGCAACCTAGTCCCCAACATCGGTCTTTGGATCATCCCCTCTGAACTTGTTGGGAGCTAGGATCTTGGGCCCTCTTTGATCACCTGCAACAATAGACGCATAGGATGGTTGGGCTGTAGCTTTTTGGGAGTGAGGTGGTGAAGGGGAAGAAGGGCGTGAACTAGAGGGAGATAGAGAAGGAGATGGAGAAGGTTTCACTGAGGGGGCAGGAGACTGAGGAACAATCAGTTTGGTTGTTGTCAGCTGAGCAGTCAAATCCTGAATTGCCTTCAGTATCTTGGACTGCTGAGCTGCCAGGTCATCCACCCTGCGCTCCAGACGGCCTATGCGGTCATCCCAGTTAGTGAAGTAAGAGTTCGTGGCTTTGTGTTCCAAATGGCTCACTCTGCCAAGTTCTTAGTCACCTGGGCACAACGGTCATTTGACAGATCCTTAGCTAGTTGCTCCAACATATACTCACCACATGACGCATCTGTTGCAGCCTCTAGCTCGGCTGCCTCCTGTCTCTCCAATTCTGCAAGCATGGCCTGCTCCTGCTACTGTCTTTCCTGCAATTCCTTCTTCTTTCGCTGAGTAGCAGTCAGAGGGGTAGTGGGGGTAGAGGTAGAAGGTTGTTGTTCTTCTACCTTCATCACCACTTCCACCTGTGGTTGCTGCTGAGTTCCCTGATCTGCCATTTTCCTCTTTCAATTCAACAATAATTCGTGGACAAGCAGGGGAGTATGCAGCGATTTTCAGCTTCTTTCAGACTCTCAGAAATCCCTGTTTCTCATATACAAAGGTAGGTGGGGGAATAGGCAACAAGCGGTTTGGGTTGGAACAGTTTCTCTGGGGTCAGGGGTGAGACAAATAATAGTCCAGTAAAATGATTCACACGATTTCCTTTTACTAACCCTGACCCTCTACTGGAGTTAGAAGACAACTTCGGCAATTCCAGAGATACCTTAGATTTTCAGTGCCCACTAGAAAACAAGAGTAATCAGTGAGAGTAAAAGGACATGGCAAGACTAGACAACAATGATCAATCAGACAGAGCGATTCAGTCATAATGCTTAGATCCTAGCTCAGACTCCAATTTCGACCCTGATGACTCCGACGGCCATACCCTTGGGTATGGCGGATTACATTATTCACTGTATCTAGTGAAATACTGCAAATCTAGACAAGCGCTTCTGCCCTAATGACAACTAATGAATTGTGATTCACTGCAAACTGACAGAATTGAATTCTGACGGACTGAATTGGAATTATGACTGACCCTAGTTAGCACAGGCTATAATTAGACTCGACGCAAAACTACAATTCACGGTATCTCTACCATTCCAGTACAAAATTCACAGTTTGAGCATGCAGGATCAAGCGCAATGCAGTAATGCAGTCACAAGACAATTTTGGATGGAAAAGAGTCAACAAAGGGTAAGAAATGCGCAGAAGGAGACAGGAGAAAGATGGCTATGGTTGTCATGCAGTCTGCGATTTTTCATTTCGAGCATTGACAGACAGGCAGACCATTACTACTAACTATTCGAACCCTATCGGAATCGCTATACAAAGATTTGCATGGAACGGACTCACTTTTAGAGTTTCTTGCAGAGCTTGATAAAGATCTGGCTATGGCAGACCGAAACACTCATTTCGCCAATTTCTTCTAGAAGTTCCTCCTCTGTCCTCCACGCATCAAATCTTTCCAGACTCGTTGATCTTGATCAGGGTCCTGAGGCGCTTCAGCCCCTCTAGTCAGATTCACTGAATCTGACCCTGTGGCGCTCAGAAAGCCAACAAAAGATTATCTCGCCACAGTGCCTCACAATCGCTGATGTTTTAAATAGCCCCAGATGGGGTTAATCTCGCCTGGGATTGACACAGACTGTCAATCCACCTCAGCGCTGCTCAGGGATAAAGACGCTCAGAGGTCCCTGAAGTCCTCAGGGGTCATTCGCCACTCTGAGGCAATTCGTTGTATTGCCCTCAGGCTTGGCTATGGCGAATTAGCCTTGTTCTCGCCACTTCCCAGCAAGCGCCCTGACAGGCTCAGTGGGCTTGTTCAGTACAATCACTGACTCTTGGATTCACCGCTTGACATCTTCTTCTCTACTGTCTCAGTACTGGAGAAGGAGAATCGCCATGAAACTTCCCCCCAGTAGATCGCCAGATGAAGAAGATGCCCCAGCTGCACTCAACCCTCAGTGTTCCAATTTCAATCTCGCTCTGATACCAACTGTTATGAACTTGGTTGTCTGACGATTTTCCCGCCACTCACACACAAAGTGTCTGACACACGCCCATACACATACCAGACAAAGGGGAGAGGAGACAGAGTCCAAACTGCACATAGACAAAGATAAGCAGCGGAATTCAACCATGCACAGATGGGGAGAAGACACACAGAGGTTCTCACTCTCTGACAGACTCCCAACAACCAATCACAAGAAGACACCTGCGAGGATAACAATCGGAATCACACTGATGATGAGCCAACTCAAACCAATAATCGTTACAGAGTTTATCCCAGTGTCTCGCCACTCTCAGAACTCCACACACCACTCTCTATCCCACACCCAGTTAGTAGCGCAACACTGAATCCGCCTCCCAGAGGCCAGCCCCAACCATCTAGATGAAGAACATGAATCGYGATGAAGTCTTCAGTTCCGATGAGTAACTCTGACGAAGAAGATGGCAGCTATGGCTGCCGCACCACTGACGAACCCTGACAATCCCRTAGGAGCGAAGGGCGACAGTGGTCCACCCACATACGCTCAGTGAAGAGCCTCAGAACAGCCCAGCCAATCGCAGATACCCTCACGGGTAGATGCTCAGAGGATGCCCCAGCTATGGCAAACACCAGC